ACATAAGCTGTACTTCGCTACTAATAGAGCAAATATGATATGCAGTTAGAAACAAAAATTAATGTACATTGCCCATAAATCTAACAATTTTACCCAGTCTGTGTTCATTTGTACATATTAACTTCAGTATTACATGATTGAAAATATGACAAATAGACAAAAAACATACCTTATTTATTTTCTCCCCATCCTACATAAAGATTACTGTAAATTAGTGAATTTGACTGAATGCAAGAATTAACAGAATCTTAATTTAGCTAAAGTGCCAACAATCTCATTGTAGAATATACTTCTCTTTTAAAATAGGGACGTCTTGAATTACAATGTAGCAAAATTACAGATTCACAAATATGTGTTTTACTGTGTTCTATGCGTTTACACACATGTTTTTATCTTTCTAGAGCAACTGAGATTAAATTGCCATCATGGACTTATCAGTTGAGGAGGAGACTGGTAACCATGATGATGAATCGTTAATTGAAAGAGATTCATCCAGTTCATTAATAGAAAGTGATATCCATCTGTGGGGATGGTTTAACATTCGTCACAGATGTTTACAAGTTTTCAACAGCGGTTTATGGCTGTGTGTGACGCTAAGTACTTTCATGTTCGTCCAGGGAATGATCGTTAGTGGATTTGTTGCTACAAGTATATCAACCATCGAGCGTCGTTTTGAACTTCCGAGCATCGCTACAGGACTTATAGTTTCGGTTTATGATCTTACCGCTGCCATTTGTGTTCTGTTTATGAGTTTTTACAGCGATTATGGAAATAAACCGAGAATTCTTGGTATTGGTGCTATTTTGATGGGCTTTGGGTGTTTTACTTGGACCTTGCCGCATTTCCTCACAACCGATTATAAATATGACAATGGAATCTAATTTATTAACGTGCAGCAAACTCTACCATAGATTGTGTCACTGAAGAAGAGACTTCCAAATCTCACATTTTAATTGTTTTCATCATTGGCCAAGTTTTGATTGGTTGTGGTGCATCCCCGCTGTATACACTGGGTACTACTTATCTGGACGAAAATGTCAGAACCGAGAAAGCAGGGATATATGTGGTAAGTTACAAGTATGCCAGTAACACATGGGATATTCTTTAATGTACCAATCTGGTAACTCTAATCCCTTGCCTTGAGAAAAGATGCAAAATGTCTTAAATTAAGAATTAAATCAAGCTAAAATAAAATATTTAATTTGAAATGAAAACATTTAATATTGATGTTTGATATTGAATATTTGTGAATTATAATTATTCATGACCTGAAAACCTTATTCTTGTAGCATGCATCTGAGTTTTCAGTTGATGAATGACATTCTCTAATACGCATGTACCAGAACACTGGTTGTTTCAGTATGTACGATAACAATCAATGCACAATGTGGTTTACATTTTCATCCTACGAATACTATGTCTTGCAAAGGCAAGATTTTTAGTTTGATAATGAGTCATAGTTAGTGCAATATTAAAATAACATATGTTTTTGTCTACATGTCATTCTTATATATGAAATATTTTTTGGTCAATACAAACAAAAATATGGTTTTATTTGAAAATTAAATATAATTATAATATATGCAAAATGTAGATGGTAAAATGTCATCTTTAACGAGAATCGTATAGGTTTGCATATAAGTGTCAATGAACATGGGTCTCATCTTAAATTTTTCACACACAGGAATATGCTATGGTTTCTCTGCGCTTGGTCCAGCATGTGGTCTTGTGTTAGGTGGTGCTTTCCTAACATTATACACTAGTCTGTCAGAAGCTACAAAGTAAGAATATTATTTCCTGTTCTGTTATGTTTAGATACCATATTTGCTCTATTAGAAGTGTCTATACAAGCACTAACAGAAGCCAACAATGATAGTTTTGATGTCAGTTTTAATTTGACCAAAACTGTGATATTAATTGATAACGTTTAAGCAGGTTCACTTCTAATTAAGCAAATAGGGTAGATCGTTTTTGTTTTATGAATTAATTACTGGTGTAAAAATAAGATAAAAAAATTACCAGTAGATTTGAAGTTACCAAATGGGTTTTTAAGGCATCTCAAAGCAAATTCATGTTTTGGACTACTGGACATGTTACTGCATCTACATCTATCCTCACGGGCGAACATCCGGGCATTTTCACCACCTGGCAACCATCGCGATGAAAACAAAGGCCAAAAACTCATAGAAAACGGTACTTTAATTGGGATGGTTGTTGGAACTCTCCTGAACAGTGTAACAAAATTAGCCCTACTTGTGTAACATATATAAAATTGGTTGTTCAGTTGAGTTTGTGTTGTTTTCTCGACTTTCCATATTAGCATATTTATGAATCCCAATAACCTTTTCACCACCAGACTTTCACATGCCAAATTTTTCTGCACTTTTTTCTGCACCCTAAGATACAGAAAACTCAATTATAACCATAGCTACAGAAGTGATTGGTGATGTTTGGCTATTAACCAGGTGGATGGATATCTTGCGATCATTATATATGGCTAATAATACTAAATGACCCACAGCACCATAGTGGATGAGAATTCAATTATATCATTGCATATCATGCTAGTTCCATTCTCCCATCTTATAAATCCTTGATTTTAATTAATATTTTCTGATTGTTTTTGTTATTACGAGATACATTTTAAAGTGTACAGTCACCACACAGTGTGTTTTTGAATTTCATGTAAACAAACAATGTATTTTACACGCATTGTGTACGTCGATATGAGTCCCATATTGAACAGGATGCAGAGTGACGACTCTAAAACTTAACAAGAAACAAAAACAAGAACAAAATGCTAAATTTGCAGATTAATGATTTGTGTGTGTTTTCAGTGTGACAATTACTCAAGAACATCCAGCCTGGGTCGGTGCTTGGTGGTTGGGTTTTTTATTGGATCCATAGCTGTATGGTGTATAGTGTTGCCAATTAGTGGTTTCCCAAGAGAAATGAAAAGTGAGTTCCCTCTTAACTTTTTTTATTCTTTTTTATTTTTTGTGGCAAAATTAAGACTGTAAATAAGATGCAAATTAGGATAATGGATCCATGTTTTTATTCAAATTTGTTGAATGCAGCCATATTGCCAGTGACATGCATATAAACATGTGCATAATAGCAGCCACCAAAATATGTAAATTAGGATAATGGCGTGTTAGTCAATTGCAAAGTAGTTACTTTCATGGTACACATCACACATCCTGGTCCTTTTGTTGGTATGGAAACCAAAAATGAATTTTGTTTTGTTGGTATTTCAGCACAATTTCCTAGACTTGACTATTTGTTTTAGCTACATAAGTAAAACATTGTTGCTAGAAACAAAAAGATGCATTAAAATTCCAAATCCTGTATGCTTGTGATGCTGTTGTACCAACTAAAATACCAGGATGTGTGACCTTTAGGGGGTCATGAAAGCCTATTAGAATAGCAAATTTATTCACTTTCAGTACTTCACTTTTATTGCAGAGACAAAACAAATCAAGGAAGAGGAACAATTAGAGATGCTTGCTTCATCATCCCCAGACGTTGCTAAGAAACCACGATATGGAATGTCAGTCAATGATTTCCCATCCTCTGTTTGGTCATTACTACGAAATGCTACTTATTTGTGTATAACTGGGACAGCCATCACAGAAGGTCTTCTGATTGGTGGATTTACGTACTTCATGCCAAAATTTATTGAAAATCAGTTTGCTGTAACTTCGTCTGCAGCATCTGCGCTTTGTGGTAAGTATAAAATTTGTATATATACAAGGCAGAATTTGATAGGTTCCAAAACCTGTGAATAAACAAGCTGCTCTCTGATTGGTCTGACTGTTAGGTGTTAGGGCTGGGTAGCCAATCAGGCCCAACCTTGTAATTAGCTACATGTACATGGTTATTTGCATATTGTAGAATTCTGGGGTTCTCTGTGGATGAATTCTTGAAAAGAACTGAATATTTGAATATTATTGTTGGTGTGTATTCCACCCAACTGTCACAAGTGACAAATCAAATTGCATTCAGAAACATATTAACCTTTTCACCACTGTACTTTCTCACCACAATTGTCACTTTTTTTATGTTCTTCAATATTCCTGGAAAAGAACCCTAATTTTGGACAAAATTTGAGTCAATTTTCATTTTTTCCTCAAAAAATTTGGCTATTTTTGTCTGAATCTTCTAAAGGAAAGTGCAGACTATAAACAGGACTATTTGTGATGAAAAGTGGGAAGTGGTGGTGAAAATACAGTATGCTGAAATCCTTCAAAAATGGCTTCAGCTTGTGATGTGTTATTTTTGAGATAGTTTGTCATAAATAGCATGACAGTGTTCAATGTTCTTTTAGGTAAAATCATAGAGATATAGTTTCATGACACCATGAAATAGCATTCTTTTGTATGTTACGGTGACATATTTTGTGAACAATTTCATAAAACACATTTTTGAAGAAAGATTTTTAAAATAATTGAGGACACCCCATCATTCACATTATATGTCACCAGCTTTCAACTTAGGAGGTCATATAATATGTCTTCTATAGGGACCTATGGGAAAAGCATTATAAATACTGACAAAATGACTACGATCCGCTAAAATACAACCATCCTTTTCTCCAAAATTAAGCTGGTGACCCCCAAATTGTTTAAAGTCAATATGAAAACGAATAGATTTTGGGTATTTGAAATCATGAGTGAGCCTCCACCTTAACTGCCACAAAGCAGTGTTCAGTGGCCATAATCCCAAAGCAATATTATCTTGTAATTTTAATACATCTTTAAACTAATTCAAATGATTTTTCAAAATATATTTTGCAAAATATTTAACTGTTTCTCCATGAGCAGGATCATAAAATTATGTTGTAGAATTTTGACAATCGCTCACTTCCAAAATAAATTAATATCATATTCTTATTAATAGTGTATGTATTTATCTGGTATGAAAATTAACAGCTGTTTGATACAGGTTGTCACTGCTGACTGCTTTCAGTGACAGGCTTATAATAGTATATACTACATGTCAATTTAAATAACAAATACTGTGTAATGGGAGATTATTACTATGACAATCTCCAGGGAGATATTTTTTTTTTGAAAATTGCAGGTGTTGCTGTGATTCCTGGTGCTGCAGGTGGTACGTTTCTTGGTGGGTGGTTTATCAAAAAATTCAAACTTCAAAGTGCTTGGAATGATCAGGTTTTCTCTTGTTGTTGCAATTCTGACATTGGCCAGCACCCCCTACTTACTGTTGAGCTGTCCTAAGGCGTCATTAGCTGGTGTAAGTGGTGCATATGATACACTAGGGTGAGTTTAGTTTTATGATAATTAACACAATGACTGCCATCATAATGTATTCTAATGTAAAATAATTATTTTCACTTGGAATTAATTTCCGCTATTTTCTCTGAAAGAATGATTTAGTGAAAATAAAACCCAGCGAATATACCTTTTTTCCGATATTTTACATTCAAATCATAAAAAATCAGTGATAATAATTTCCATACAAAACAAACAAAAATTTTTTTTAGCAAAAATTAATTCTAGCTAAAATACAGTATTACTTCACCCCTCCTCAATAAACACCTTGATGCCCATTGCTATTCAGCGAATAGCAGTTTTTAGTGGACAATACCGTACTCGACCGCGTTAGCGCCCAGGCTCCTCAACTCATAAAATTGGGATTTTTTAGGGGTGGGCGCTTACCCGAGCAACCCCCTCAGAAAAGAGTGCAAATGACAATTTTAATTCACCATGTGACAGATTGAGGGGGGTATTAATTTCTCGAAACATGAAGGGGAATAAAAGATTATTTTACAAAGCAAGTTGCGTGTCATTTCCATGCACGCTACCACTCTGACGTAATTAAAAACAAATGAACATGATTACAAAACAATACGCACATTTATTACAATATTATTTACATACCATCAATACAGAGAAATCCAGTCATAAATTACGATGTCATACAGTTGAAAAAAAACATGTCATTTATTAGAGTTTGTTGAAAAAACTACGAAGGTCTTGTTGATCAACTGTCAAACGTGTGTGATACAATATTAATATAATTATACAATCATGAAATTTACGTTATAAGATTTATATTAACAAAAGAGACGTTAGTTTCATGTAGGTTTGGAAAAGTGAATAACATGTTCCTCTAATTTTTCACCTCCAATAAAAATTAATTTATTTCAATATATGCTACGTTTACGTTGAGGGACCTGGGCACATGCCAACATTTTTAATCTTTTATGTTTGCAGAGGGATTACAGCAATTGTGCTCACACTAGTCTGTTCCCACTTGGGACCAACTCATCTCATGCCGAAATCATATTCTTCATCTGTTATTTGACCCAAACATGGAAAACGATATTCATATTATGATAATAATAATTGTTATATTGAAATTATATCCATTTGCTGTTATTGGAGTTATTACGAGTCTTCATGCACCTGAATGGCAAAGAAGATTCAAAAAACAATTATTTATTGCGAATAAACGGTTGCAGAAGCACATAAATATGCGTCGCCGACAACATTCATTTCATTCATTACTCAGCATCTGACTATGTATAGATGCACTTCCCTCCATCATCATGTCATGCTAGTATAAATCAGTATATGTTCTCTCAAATTCACCACTGAGGATATGATTTCAGTTCATTCCAAGCATTCAGGCAGCAAATCTCGGCATATGTCGAGTTTTGGTCTTGAGCATCTATGTGACGACTCTGTCCCGACCGTTCACACACATGTTTGGCATGTGCCAACTCGGGTCCTGAGTATCAGCATGTGCCAAGATTTCAAACGTAAACACCCCTAATATTACTGTCCTCTTCTACTGTTGTGTTTATATTTGTAAACAGCTCATCAAGGTAAGATGTTTATAGTTTTGCTATGTTTACAGATCTGAAGTGAATTTCACACATGGCTGTAATGCTGACTGTGAGTGTACCCGGAACATGTATTCCCCTGTATGTGGTAATGATGGTCTGGTGTACTTTAATCCATGTAGTGCTGGATGTATGGACTATTCACAGGATGGACAGGTTAGCATGTCATAGTTAATCCATTACTTAACACTTGCATGTAAAGTGACGCATATGTGCACTGATACTGTACATTTATTCTGTATTTGCAACTACGTTTTGGAGATGCCACAGTGCAGTCTGTGCGTAACTTAACTCCCAAAATCTTTAAATCGATTACCATTGTTTGTTGGGGAAACTGATTATTATTATGCAAATTACAATTATGCAAATTATGTATATTTGTATGCAAATTAGCCACAATGATTGACATGGTGTCTGGGGAGAGCACTGATTGTTGTCAGAGTAGTTGGCATAGCATGTCTTAAATTTTATATTTGTCCTATACAAAGTATGAAGGGAAAAGTAAGTACCGGTAGGCTAGCATTGAGCCAGCTGAAATGAAGCTAAGTGTTTAGATATGCTCAGGCTATGTTGTATGTTACAACAGTATGTTGTTTATCTTCCATTCATATGGCTTTGCGTCGTCGTAATATACTTCATCAAGCACTGGCAGACAATGGATACTTGAAGGCACATCTCGTTGTGAGTAAATCTGAGCCAAATGTCTTTATGTTAAAATTGGTAAATATTGAACTCAGAAACTCTCTGTTGCAGTCAATAACACCAAGGAGTATCTAATGACTCCTAACATTTAGACATTCTGGAAAGAGTTCTTTTTGTACCCCCAACTATAACTGTCACCCAGCTCCCCATTCAACACCATATGCCCCCTCTAGATAACCATACGTGTCCTCTGTAGGGGCATATACAGTCAAATTAGGAGTGCTTATAGTGGGGTTACGGTTAGAATTAGTTGTGGGGTATAAGAAAAGGAACTCGTTATGACAATGAACTAATAATGAATGTCAACCATGTTTATTATAATCATCCACTATGTCTGACTTTATTTGAGTCAGTGGTGTTATGTCTAGACACTACTTTATTTTGGCTCATTCAATTAAAAATACAAATGGTGTAATTATCCAATTATGAAATACTCACCACAATATTATTGTCATCATATTGTATTTTGTCTGTAATGAAATTTACTTTGAATATGAGACAGTAGTACCATTTTCTTTCCTCTTGACAACTTATTTTATAAATTGTCTTTTCTGGTTTCAATCTACAGACATTCTATAACTGTCAGTGTATCCCAGAATTCAACTGTACAGTGAATGGTGAAAGTTACAGCAGTGGATGTGCTACTGTGGGAGAATGCGACAAAGCTTGCTGGACTTTACCAGTGTTCTTAATGTTATTTTTTCTGTCTATGTTGATGAACTTCCAATTGACCGTCCCTGCTGCTGCGATAACACTAAGGTAATTCTGTCATACACCACGATTTGTACTACAATGTTGTAACTTCAGTATTTAGTACAAGACTTATGGTGTGGTTTGTGATGAGTCCATTTTTATTTTTTTACGGAAATTTAATTCATGGTTTGAATATATGTACCAGTATTTGGGGAAAAATCACTGCTAACTGTAATTGTTAGTTTGTCACTGTAATTGTTAGTTTGGTCAATCAATGTTTGCCATCATTACTGTACTTTGGTGGTGAAGAATTTTAGTATTTTGTTTGATATTAACACTTCAGTCGGGGAAACACAACAACACTGACACAGTTTCTGTTATATTTCATGGTAAATGTCACCCTGTTAATAGACTGTCAGGGGGGGAATTTGTAGATTGTTAATCACCGTTTTGGACAAAGTCTGAAATCAGGGACAACTAATTTTGGGTTTGTATGTTCGTCTGGAGTCATTTTTCAGAGGTGTTTTGATGATCATTCAAACTTACTGTAAAATACTTTATTTGCGCTCGGAATTAATTTTCGCTATTTTCGCTGAAGGAATGTTTCAGTGAAAATAAAATCCAGCGAATATACTTTTTTTTCTATATTTTACATTTCACATACTGGGTTTACAGGTGCGCATTATATTTTGTTCATACTTGAACAAAAGTAGATGACTGTTGAACAATCATTTGTTGTTTTTGAGGTGTCTATGCTGGTTTCTCTTTCTGTGTGTCATTATATAATCACCACAGTTTGTCAAAGATGCATGGAACCTTTTGTTAAACTTTGGATCATGATTATGCATATTTTTGGTTTACAGGTGTATCCCATTTCGTTTTTATTCATATCCATGCCAATTCCTAGCTAATATATTGCTTCATTCAGTACTTTACTCATACTATTATACTGTTGTTTTTTTTGTGATTTGATGAAATATATGAATTTTGTCTAAAATTTTAAAATCCCAATCAGTAATCATGTCTGGAACCGTTTTTTAGAGATGAACAGGGCAATTTCATTTGAACTTTGTATCATTCATACTTGGTTTACAGGTGTTATATTTTGTTTTATACTTGAACAAAAGTAGCCGACTGTTGTTGAACAACCATTTGTTGTTTTTGAGGTGTCCATGCTGGTTTCTCTGTCTCTGTGTGGTTATATATTCACCGCATTTTGTCAGTCCATGCACTTTCAGTCATACTGCATTGAATATACATGTATATATTGGTATACAAGAGATGCATTGAGCCTTTTGGTAAACATGTATATCTACATGTGACTTGTACAAAACATTGAGATCGAATACCAGTTAAAAAAAAACACGAACTGTACACTGTCAATACTTTTATTGACACATTGTCAATAATTTTTGCTGTTAACACTGTTAGTTTGAACTTTCAACATGGAGTGTGCTTAGTGATAAGACTTTCATAAAATTTTTGCAATTCAATAAAATTTAGGGACTTATCAAATGAGTTTATATTTACAGTTTCAGCTTGATAGAATTAATTGTATTTTATAATCCCCAGATGTGTCCCAGAAAATCAAAGGATGCTGGCAATGAGTATCCAGTCTGTATTCGCCAGGTTGTTTGGTAAGTATTGCGTGTGCAGAGTCAATCTCACTATTACTTTAGAATATTTATGCCAAACTTTTGTAGCAAATGTTAAGGTTACTTAAAACTGCAAAGCTCTCAGCTGGCTTTCACTTTTCATAAAAATTTCATAAAAATTTTTAAAGTATTATTCTCATCAATAATTTCAACTTATTCTTTGGTAGTATTTGCCTAGGTTACTAATGAGACATATTTTGACAATTACTTTGCACAATTTAGATAAAAGGCAGTTTTTGAAAGCAAATTAAGCTAGCTTCAAGCTGGCTGAATTTTAACTTACGCTCAGACTGTGGTTGGAAATTCCAGTAAATAAGTTACTGTAAAACCATTTACTTTCATTGACTTTTAATTTCTCTATTTGAGGTTTTGAGCAATTGGATTTTAAAATCACAAACTTACCAAGGAAATAATAAGACCTATTGTTATTCTACAAGTTCACTTTAAATTTAATTTAGTGAATTTTACTTACCAATGAAAATAGTGAAATTAAAAACACGCGAATAATTCCGCATTTAATTCAACCAGCCCTGTTGAACACAAGCACATATTAACATTAACCAATGTTCCCTCAAAGTCTGTTATTGAATGAATCTTTACCACAGCAGCTTTTGGTTAAAATTCCTCTATTGAGTCAGTGACACAATCACTCAGGGTATGGTATTCAACCCTGGAAATGATTTGAGTGCAATGCAACAACCGGTACTGTCAACTTTGGTTAGTTAAGTTAGTTTATTACATTTTAAAAGTTGCATTTAAGGCCCAGAGAAAAAGTATTCATTGGTTTGTTCACCATGCATGTCACAGCTTTGTTCTAAAGTTTTTTTTGTCATAATTTAGTTTACATGAAAAATCACAAACAACAATTTCAAAACAAATCAATAAACCACCCATAAACATTTTTTCTTGGCCTAACCAGTTAAATTGATTATCACTATAATAATTATTGTTGTTAATACAGGAGCTGTACCTGGATTGTTAATAGTTGGTGCTACTATCGACAGTACATGCCTAATATGGCAGGAGTCATGTGATCAGACTGGTGCATGCTGGGTATATGACACATTCCAGTACGGTTTACGGTTCTTCATTTTAGCTGCCATATATCTATCTGCACGGTGTTGTTTCTATTTCTCGCATGTTTGTTTACCGACCGCCTCCGTGTAAGGATCATGTTGAAGATGTGAAGTTTAGCAATACTTTTGAAGATGATTTACAAGATAAAGACACTTGGTGGTATATTGATTGACTTTAAAACGAAATACCGAAATGGTGCAGCAGATTTAGCGAAGGAAGAGCCGTTAATTATCAGGGAAGATAGTCGGGCTAACCTCAGTGATGAGCAAACCCCAATGAAATTAAAAGCAGCAAAAGATGAATAAATATAATATAATGCATAATAAATAAATATATTTACATTGATAATTTTAATATATAAATCTAAAATTTCTATCCATTTTTGATGATCAGATTTAAGCCAATGAAAAACAATTGTGTTTTTAGTAAGAATAGTGGGGTAGGTTTATTAGTCCCCGCTCAGGCGCAGTCCGAAAATGTGGACTTATGTTTTGACCTCTGTGTGTCCGTGCGTGTGTGCGTGCAACTGTGTGTGCGTCCGGACCTGTATCTTAGAAATGCCTGGACCAATCACAATCAAACTTCACACATACATCATACATGATATTATACATATGCACGTCAATTTGTTTCACGATCTGATTCAAAATGGCCGAATTGCGGCCATTTTTGTGCTAAAAATCATCAAAATCAAGCATTTGTCGGCTGTTTACAGATGGATTTTGTTCAAACTTGGTATATACATTAAACATTATAGGACCTTGATGCACATGATTTTGTTTTACGATTTGATTTAAGATGGCCGAATGGTATCCATTTTTGTGCTAAAAAATCCTAAAAATCAACCATTTCTCGGCTGTTTAGAGATGGATTTTGTTCAAACTTGGTATATACATTAGACATTATGGGACCTTGATGCAAATAATTTTGTTTTTCAGATAAGATTCAAAATGGCCGACTGGCGGCCATTTTGTATTAATGAATGTGGTTCTCTGACTTGCTTTCACTGATTATGTTCAAATTTTAAATATTCATTATACATCATGTCATAGATATATTGGTTTGACGATCCTATTCAAAATGGCCAAATGGTGGCCTAATTGTGATAAACAATCATCAAATATCAAGCATTTCTGGCATTTATGGATGGATTTCGTTCAAACTTGGTACATATATTAGACATTACAGGTTCCTGATGCACATCATTTATTTTTCAGGTCGGATTCAAAATGGCTGTCTGGCGGCCATTTTGTTTTAATGATTGGGCTTCTAGAGCCATATCTCTTAAATGCTTTGACTGATTATATTCAAATTTTATATATTCGTCATACAACATGTTACATATATATACATGTATTCAAAATGACTGATTTTGAATGCTGTTCCAGAGCAATATCTCTCAATATGGACTAGTACTTGTTTGACGATCAGATACAAATGTCAATCAATTTAATGTTAAAAAATCATATTCCTGACATGGTTATATTCCAGCTATATTACTATAAACAAAACTATATATCTTAGATTTGATAACTAACGGGGACTGTGCCATGCATGTCTTGTTTTTTCTTTTACATATATATATGTATTTAATACAGACTATAATAAGAAAAAATTTCCACCACTTGCAGTGAGATATTGTAGTGGATCTCTATTTCATTTTGTTCTGGGCATTCACTATAGATACATGAAAAGATGTAAATGAACAAAGTGTTTTTTTGTGGGTAGAACATGGATAATTTGCATAATAATGGAAATAGATACTTTTGCATAAAATAAAAGTTTTAGTTGTAAGGTTATCAGAAACACAATTATGTTTTTTTCTCAGCCCTATTGGTGCTTGAATGGATATTTTTCATTTTCAACTCTTTAATTATTTATTTTTCTTAAATGATCTTCTTCAGTATGTATTACAGTACCAAGATTAAATTCAAAATTTCCATTTACATGAAAACCAATTTGTTAGATTCTAACGCTATATTGTACTTATTGTTTTTGTTATTTTTTTTTTCATAATTCATTGTGCCTTATCCACTTACGAACTACTTTTTAGATATATTTCTATTGTTAACCTTATCACCATCAGTTCCCTCTATTCATCATAAATTCACAAAATAGTCCCGTTTATAGTCTCCATTTTTTCATCAGAAGATGGGGACAAAAATAGTAACATTTTTTGAGTAAAAACTGAAAATTGACTCAAATTTTGTCTACCATTAATTTAATTATTTTGACTATTATTGTTTTTTCACTACTGTATATAGTAGTACTGGAAATAAAAACCTATCTCTCCAAACAATTAGAAGTCCAGCAGCAGATGTTAAAAATCTAAATAACACTCCTATACAGGAAATGCCCTTCAGGTTTATTTCTTTTTTTTAAGTCTGTAAACAAATCAAGAAAAGTTAAGTTTGATTTATAATGACAGGTAATATTTGTAGATATTCGTGATATAATTTGTCGGTTTCATTCACACTGCTATATGATGCTAATTTATCATAGTGTTGCTGATATTTACTGAATTAAGACTTTGTGTA